GAGACCATTAAAGATTTAGAAAAGCAGAAAAAGGAATTAGATAAGGAAGTTAAAGATTTAGAAAAAGAAAGAAAAGAAATTTTAGCCGGTAGTGATGAAGATAAAGCCGAAAAAGCCCAAGAGAAACTGGAAGAAAAACAAACCAAAGTCCAAGAATTAGAAAAGGCGGAAAAAGATTTGAATGATTTAAAAGTTGTTGAGAGTAGTAGTTGAAAGGCTAAACTGCCGAACAAGTTAAGTTGGAATAATGGCTTATGAATTGGTGGATTCTTAATTGGCTTGGTGATACTTTATAAAATTTGTGTGGCCATATTCAGAAGTTTATTTCGGGCGATTGGCTGAGAAGAAGCCTAAATTATTATGGAACCAGTTTCAACAACAATAGCAGTCTCTTGACTAGTCGGTAAAATTGTTCTGTGAGCCGGAACTGTTGCTGCCGGAACTTATTTAGGTAAAAAGGTTATTGATAAATTTGGGGATACTCCGGGGAATAATCTTAATAAACTGGGAATAGACCACCAAAAACAATGGGAAGAGCATCAAAGATGGATGACTGACAAGAATAAATATATCGAAGAAAAAACTGACGAATTTTTTAAATCCCAAAAAGACCGCTTAAAAGCCTTGGAAGAAGAAAATAAACAGTTAGCCGAAGCCCTAGAAAAGGAAACCGACCCGCAAAAGAAAGCCCAAATTTTGGATCAAATTAAAAACAATAGAGTTGAGATGAAGGAAATTAGAAGAGAAATTGCCGACCATATCAACCAAATTAATAAAAACTTTACTGAAATTGGTAGGCAAGGCTTTAAGACCCAAGAACAATTTACCGCCCACAGCCAATCCCCGAGTTTAAGCAGTTATAAGAATTGAATAATAATTGTAGTAGTGCTAATACTGATAATTATGGTCTTGAAGTTTATCCATGGCTTCTTAAAAAAAATGCTGGGTGGGGAAAAGTAAAAATTTTTCTCCTTACTACTTTAAAAAATCATGTCCCGCTTTGAAATTACCGAAGAAATATTTAAAAGTTTAATCAATTATCGACAAATGATTAAGCATAGCAAGTGTAAAAATTTTCGGGCGACAGGTAGATTTTCCGGCACTAGTGGTCATGAAAATTGCTCTTCTTGTCCGGGAAATTATTATCACGGGGGTGAGTGTAATTATGGGGGGCGTCATGTTTTAGCCGACGAGATTAACCAACTTAACAAGAATTTCGAAGGTATTGATAAATTAGAAAAAAGGCATAACAAATTAAAGTTATCTATTAATGATAGTAAAGAAAAATTTGAGCAAGAAAAGCAAAATTTAATCAATGATTTTGAATTGATTCAAAAGCGATGTACAGATCCGAGTGGTTTTTTTTATGGCTCTTGTGTCGGCATTGATGGTCAAAAACCCGTTTTTCAAGAAAATATTAAAAAAAGATTTCAGGATTTCCACAATAAGATATCCAAGTTTATTGAGTCAGTTAAAAATACTAATCAATTGCAATT